GATGAACTCAAAGATCTAAAACATTTTCTATATACACAAAATAACCATTTCTCTCAAATATTGTGGCCTGTGTTCGTTGTCCATAACATACGCCTGCCCATACCATAACCCCACCACCACCATGGGCCACTCGATTCACAACATTACCCTAACCCTAACCCTAACCCTAATCCTAACCCTCACACCAGATACTGACTGGTTTTCGGACCCCCCCAATAAAGCAAAACTGCACGTTTCAGAGTGGCCTTTTATTGTGGCCAGCCTAAGGCACACCTGTGCAATAATCATGCTGTCTAATCAGCATCTTGATATGCCACACCTGTGAGGTGGGATGGATTATCTCGGCAAAGGAGAAGTGCTCACTATCACAGATTTTTTCAGATTTGTGAACAATATTTGAGAGAAATGGTTATTTTGTGTATATAGAAAATGTTTTAGATCTTTGAGTTCATCTCATGAAAAATGGGAGCAAAAACAAAAGTGTTGCATTTATATTTTTGTTCAGTGTATATATAATAATAATAATACATTTGATTTTGATAGCGCTTTTCCTAATGCGCAAAGAGATAGTCATTTGGAAAGTAAACATGAAAACACCCTGAAATATTGTATAGGCTGGAGAAGAACTTTAGTTTCTACATGTAAAAAAACATCCACATACATTTTGCATGCAATACAAGGGGTCTATATTTTTGCAACATACGAGTGAGAATCCTCTTGATGCGGTGCACGTCGGAGTAGGAGTAGAAGAGAATACAATGAGAGATGTCTCCGTCTCTGCCCGCTCTCCCTGACTCCTGGTAGTAACCCTCCACTGACTTGGGCAGACTGGCGTGGATCACATAGCGCACGTCAGGCTTGTCAATGCCCATGCCAAAGGCTATGGTGGCACAGATGACCTGGCACACAAGAATACAAAATGTCCATTTTTAAATCTTGCTCTCTTAAGACTTGAAAAGTGTTCATTGCTTTGTATCCATTAGTGCTCTTCAGGCTGTATCAGTGACTCACCTGGCAGCCGTCCTGGTTGATCCACTTGGTCTGCACGTATTCTCTGTCGCTGTCTCCCAGGCCTGCGTGATAGGCCAGAGCTAATATGTGTGATCTCTGCAGACTCTGAGCCATGTCATCACAGTCCTTACGGGAAAGGCAGTACACTATGCCAGAGTCTCCTGCAACAGGCAGAAATGCAGCTTAATAAACAAAAGACATTTTATATAACTGGATATGACAGACCTCAGAGTGTGTTCGCAGACAAATAGTTCTCACCAGGACAGTGATGTCAGTTTTCTAAAAATAACCAGGATCACAAAAAGTACTTACGTGGGTAGTTCTTCTTGATCCACGTGGTGCACTCCTCGCCAACCTTTTTGGGTTTCTTGGGAAGGACAGTGTACTTGAGGTTTGTTCTGTTGAAACTCATGGTGAACCTAAAAAAACATAGAAAACAATATTAATATTAAAATAGAACCCATTTAAAAGTCTGACAGAGGCAGAGAGGAGCACGTACACCTGGGGCCGCGTCATGTTCAGCTGGTTGAGGATGTCTTTCTGCACTCGGGGGGTGGCAGTGGCCGTCAGCGCCATCATCGGGACCTTTGGGTACTTCTGACGCAACTCATGCAACCTCTTGTAGTCCGGGCGAAAGTCATGACCCCACTGAAATGTTCAAAGTCGCAGGTTGATACACAATGGCTGTTGCAAAGATCAAAGCAGACTGCAGATGGTGTAGGAGGCAGCTGACACACACCTGGCTGACACAGTGGGCCTCGTCTATGACAAAGCGGGACAGAAGGCCTCGCTCGTACAGGTTGTGCAGGGCGGAGATCAGCTTGTTACTCGCACACAGCTTTGGGAATAAAAAATCATCATGAGTAAACATCAGAGATACTACTCCCTTTATTGTAAACAAGCAAGAAATTATACAAAATTGAGAGCATAAATCAACAATTTCTCACCTTCTCAGGGGTGACGTAGAGAAGTTTAATGATGGGGTCTTTCCGTGAGAGCTGCATATAAATCCTTCCGGCTTCACTGTCAGTTATTGAACCAGTCAGGGTTGTTGCTGGGATCTGAAAGGTAAGACGTTAAAAAATACTTAATACACATAATGAGTGTTTGATATGGATCTCGTTGATCAACAGGAGCAAACATACTTACATCAAGAGTAGTGAGTTTCTGGACCTGGTCTACAATGAGTGATTTGAGAGGGGAGATGACCACAGTGACTCCTGGTAACACGCAGGCAGGCAGTTGGTAGCACAGGCTTTTACCCCCACCTAAAAAATGCATCATTCACAAAGAAATGTGGACATTTGTTCTGTTTTTACCCCAAATATGTTGCAGAGATAAACTTCATTTGTAACTTCAGATCACCACGTACCTGTGGGCATCAAAACAAACGTGTCTTCAGAGAGAATTGTCGCATTAATTGCTTCTAGCTGATTGAACCTGAACTGATGAAGACCAAAGCGCTTGTGAAAAATCTTCATCATCTCCTGTGAGTGGGGGAAGTTGAACCCTCTGAAGCGATCATGGGCTGGGTTTCTGTAGGTGGGTTCTGAATGGGGAAACATTCATAGTGAGTGAATCAAATGCAGCACATCATCATCACATGACATCATCATGTATACATCATTTCTGAAACACAGGAAAAATGCTAGGAGTTAAGCAAAGGGTCCTTAAGCCTGCTTGGATTTATAAAGAGTATAATCAAAAGTAACCACCATAGAGGAAGATCAATTCTTGCCGTTTTAAGTTTGCAATAATAATATATTCAAAGATGATTAAGTTATTTCTATAAAGCTTGTTGGACACATTCTTCGACCTAAACACTAGTACAAAGAATGATGCATTACTAACTCATATTCAAAAATGCATTTCTCTGAGAATTTGGAAACAGTTCATTTCCCACCAAAAACATTTCATTGTTGAAGGACATGATATCATGCCGTGCAGATTTACCAGGGGAGGAGATCTTTGGAGTCTTCGGTGTGGGGGCAGGTGTTGTTGGTTTTTTGTCCCATGAAGACTTGCTGGGTCCCCCCTCTTTCCCTGCTGCTGTCACCGAGCTGGAGTTTTGAGGTTCTTCAAAGTAATCAGGGATATCTGACTCATTAAAATCATCTATGTCAAAGTAGTCATTGTAGAAGTCATCGTGCTCCATGTCTTCTGCAGCTGTGCTGGCTGCTGGCGTCTTAGGTTTGTTCTGAACTGGCTCTGGCCTTTTGGGAGAGAAGAAGAGATCTGAACCATCCAGGTCTGTGCTCGTTTTGTTCGAGAAATTAAATGCTTGGCTTTCGAGGCTGTAGGTCGATGGAGAGTCACACAAACTCTGATTTTTCACATTTATTGTCCCGCTGTTTTTACTGTGCAAGGCCTTCTGGGTGATAATACTGTCAGAGTGATCAGAGTCATAGTCCCCAGAGATAAGTGAGGATCTCTTGAGCTGAGAAGGCATCTGAGGGTCCGCGGGCGCTGAGCTGTTGGACGACATAACGCTAGACGTCTCACAGCTCAAAGACAATCTTCCTTTAAAGCTGGGTTCAGAAGTCACAGTGCTGTCAGGCTGCTGGAACGTCAAGGAACTGCCACCGCTATTTACAATAATCCTCTTCCTGTGAGAGAGAGGCAGATGATTGTAGTCATATTTAATATCACGATTAAGAACAAAGCTGTTGATACTCAAATGTACATACCTTTGAGCCCTCTTCAGCAGAAGCTCACTTCCACAGGACAGACCTATTAGTTCATTATCAGGGATGGTGTCAACCAGAGAGCAAATGGACTGCATGATACTGAAGAGTTGCTCATCTGTGAGGCAAAGAAAGAAGACAAATAATAAATGGAAATTAGGAACAGGGTGTTGATTTGCTAAACAAAATATGCACAAGTCTAGACACAACAGAAATGTGAAACACGTACTTGTATTGTCCTTTGAGTGGGTGTTGGAGGGTTTAAGTAGTGTTGTGCTGGGGCCCTTTGATGGCAAAGGACGGTCTTTGCTTACAGCAGCAGCTGATTTAGACCTGTGTGAAATAAAACTCAATTATGCATTTCTTTTTGTCAATTCACTTTCAGGTGAAATCCATCTTTAAATCTATGTTCAAAACGCATTATGCACTTAAGGTGAATATTTGAATAATATAAGGTTATATAAAATACCCACAAGTAAAAACATTATGTGCGAGGAAAAAACGAAAAAGTGAACACACTGACCTGGTCTCCAATGCAGAGGTAGAATAAAAGATCTCATCAGGAGACGGGGGAATATAATCGAGATCATCGTCAGGCTCCGAGTCATTAATCTTTATTACCTTTGGGTCAATCCATTTGTTGTTATTGCCTAAAAGATAAAAAGGCGTTTGGTATAATTCTATGCTTTCCAGACCCATAACAGCCCCACAATGTTCAAATGAAATCCAAATGCTGCATCACACAGCTTCTTACCTGACATTCCTTTAAAGGGCTCAAGCACTTCCTGGCTGTCCTCTTCATTGTCACTAACCACAGACTTCCGATGAGCGTGAGGTGGTCTTCTGGTCACTCTAACCGGAGTGGCCTTGTATTCAGTCTCTGGGGATCCAGGTCCTGGTGAAGCTGCAGTTTGGTCCAAACTCTGCTCCATTTGATCTGTTTCCATGTGAGTTTGTTCACTTCTGGAAAAAACTTTTTTGTTCGCTAAACTTTTTTCTTCACTTAGGGAGGACGGTGGATTTGCGCTCTTCCCGGACATCTCTGAACTAAAAGAGTCATTCTTTGCTTTGACAGGTGTCTCGAAGTCATCCAAATCATCCCAGTCATCCATCGGGAATCCAAGAGAAGCATCCAGACTTGCGGGAATGCCTCCAGTGCCACTTGTCTGATTGTCAGATTTAGTGGGAGCTGTCATCACCTTAAAAGCAGACCCAGCTGGAGAGGTCTGGCCTGTTGGGCTGATGGAGTCCGACTTGCCTTTTGAACTTACAGGGAAGAAGCTGTTGATTTTGGATTTTTGAGGTCTCTCAAGCTTTTTTGAAAATGTCAAAGGAGATGTAGTCACCAAACTGTTATCAGGTACATTGACATTCCTGTTTGTCAACACATTAGAGCTGATTACCTTAGTTGGCACTTCCACCTTGGTTGTACCTGATGAAGACTTCTTCTTGAAGGAGAAGGCCCTGAAAAATAAACCAGTGTGAAAATATAAAAACATATTTGGTTTAATATGATTCCCATTAGCTACAGCATTGCAGCAGCTTTCATTCCAGGGGTCCATACACAGACTTACACACCATGACAGTGTAAACAAGACAAGACTAAAGCACACAAACACACATGGGTATTTAATAAAGCAAAGTAAAAGAAAAAATGCGCCTTTTTACTTTAGTATTCTCGGTACACCCACCTTACACTTCCAAAAGGATCAACTCAAGCTTGCATTAACAGGATAGACAAAATTATATTTTTGTGTTGTCACATATTTTTCTTATAGGCCTATGTGGAAACTTTTGAAAATCAATTTTCTCCATTTTTCTTTGTATCTCAATTCCTGATAAACATAACAGCTGAGAGTAAAACCGTTGAACAATAGTATTAGTTTAAGCATTGACATATTAAGACAGAGTATCCAAAGACTCGCATGTTGGATTTGTCCTTACTTTACACTGTAGGTGAAGGAGCTTCAGCCACAGGGTTTTAGATCAGATCAGAGGTCAGAAGTGAGTACAGATGTACATAATTTTCTGATTTGTTTTATATTTGATAGGTGCTCAGTTAGTCTGCATTATGAGTTAGCATCTGCAGGACGCAATACACATATTAGTTTAACAGAGGCACTTAAATCATATTTGGACTCTATGTAGCAGCATGTCATGCTAGAAACATGCTAATTTCACACAGTTAACCATTTTAGTATCCTCCATTCGCTATTTGTAAGATAATGAAATACTGTATGAAACATGCCTTGAATTGAAACTCTGAAACTACTAATTCTGGATACATCAACTTAATGAGCATTTTTTTAAACACTATATACAATTTTTTCATTAGTAACAGAGCTATGACAAAACGTCACTGCTGTTGTGTTGAAAACATGCTAATGCTAACAGTGTCTATATGTTAGCAGAGCTGACAGCTCAAAGCTAGCTGTTGGCTGGTAAACTTACCCGGGTTTTGGTTTAGACAGAGACAGCTTGCCCTGAGCAGCAGTGCTGTGCCTCGCAAGCTGCTCCTCCAAGTTATTTTGTGGAAGACTAGACATTGTTGAACTAGCGAGTGTTAGCTAGCACAGCAGTCAGAGCTCAGTTCACCAAGATAGCAGCAGCTAGTTTCTTCAACATAGCTCGCGACACGGGGTGAGACAAGTGGCAGCACGCTCGCGGTGAGTTTGTCTTCCAGGTTGGTTGTAATTCGTTCATTAAAACTACACCGTTTTCTCGCTTCAATGTACTGTTACGTTTACTATCTGCAGCAGTCGTGTAGACAAGAGACAAACAGATTTTGCGCCCATTCAACAACTGACTCCTTATTGGTCGAAGTCGCGCATGAGATGAGGATTCTGGGAAATGCAGGTTTACGACATGGCACCTAAAACCCATTCCTAAATTATTGGAAACAAATAGTAGAAGTCGAAGTGAAACTCAAAAACAGCAGTTTGATTATTTTGTGTAAGAGAGTGTTAAAACAATTGTGTGTTATAAATGTATGCACTCTCTTTGAGAGTTGTCTTGAGTAATCACAGATTGTTCCCTTTACGGTTTATTGTTGTATTTTCTTTATTACTAGTCTTCATATTTGAACATCTTGCACACAGATGTAACAGTCATACAAGACTCAAAACAAAAAAAACGCAATATATTTTATTTATTATTTTAGTAGAATTAATTAAATGATGGATACTTAAGTGATCATTTTTGATTTGTAGATTACATTTATCACAGTACTTCACTGGGGCATAATATTTACTATATTTTGCCCACTGTACATGGACACACAGTAAGCTAGTGATTGATATTTAAAACACTATTCAAGTATTGTAAAAAATATGTTGCTCCCTTTTCAGCCCTTTTGTAGTTTGCTTTCATGCAGGAATCACACCACTGGGAAAGACGAGCAGGCAGCAAGTCCACACATGTTCTTCTCACGCTCAATGAGGAAATATCTGTAAGAGGAGAACATTGTTGATATCATTCTCTGTTTAGTATACATTTAGTTATATTTTACCTCATGTGATTAAATAAAATACTTACCCGTCAATCCCCCAGCGGGATCCCCATGAGTTCTTTACTATCCAGTAAGGGGTGCCGTCCTGCTGTCCGTACCCTACTGCTAACACAGCATGGTTCACCATGTCTGGGGTTTGGTGACATTCAGTGCTAAAAATAAGGAAGATAAGTGAGTTAGAGCCATCTTAATACAAAGACTGTTTTGATAAATAAGGAGGAAGTGAACCATTTTGCGCTCAAACAGGAACTTAACTGACAGGAAATGCTTTTGGTGCTTTATATGCACAGACATAATGTGTGTTTTTAAAGTAGTTATTTACAGGACATAATTTCCAAATCTTTATTTATGGGACAGTTATAGTTGGAGGTAAATGTGACTTTTTCCTCACCACTCATAGTTTGGCTGGTTGCATTTCAGGATATTTGGTTGTATTTGATTCTAATAAAGTAAGGAGCAGTGCATTGTTGATGATCTCACAAGTAAAAAGACACACTATTTATGTGTTTGCATGTTACTAAATTAAATTACTTGAAGAAAAAAGGTATTTTTCTTACAATGGTTATAGTTCCCTCATTTACTGATAATTGGGGGAAATTGTTACTTTAGCAAAAACAGGAAATACAATATATCTTGCTTTGAGTCAAGGTGTTATCATATCTATTAGAAGTGAGAATAAGAGAGAATATTTCTCCCCAGTCTTAAAAGGGAGTAAGATTTAAATTCTAAAATATACTTTAATGTTAAAGTAAACATCATATTTTAACTGACTTGTTACTAAAATAAGACATTAAAACGTCTGGTTTCAGAAGCATGTTTGGACTAACTAGGGAGAATACAAAAGGGGAAATGAGATTTTTAGCTCTAAAGGATACAAACTGAAACTTTAAACTTACCATTCAGTATGGTGAATATTGTAATTTTTATTGAACAGTTTTAAATGGAAAGTTACTCTATATTTACAGTAGCATTCATGACACAAACTTGTGACCTCTGCTCACCTGGTATACACTCCCCCAGAGTAATGCATGAAGTCGGAGGTCACCTCAAAGGCAAAGCTGACAGGATTGAGCGTAGCAACCGCATCTACCATTCCTTTCTCATCATACTGTAAAATAAAAGCGTCATCACTCACAGGCCTCTTAATAGAGACTATATATCTGGAGAAAGACTCTGATCTTCTCTCACCTGGGTTATGTTCACAACCTCTTTCACAAAAGCAGCTGCTAGTTCTGGCTTGTACACACAAGTAAGTTCCTGATTGAAAAAAATACATTAAAAGCCCTTAAATATATGTGACATCAATGTCAGTTTTACCTATCATGTAGTTTAGTTTATTTGTTGCAAAATATTTAGTTACAATAGCTTTGTATGGGTAGTCCTCCTCTGTCATCAGTCCCTTGTTGTACATGATGTATTCAAATGCTTGACTAGGAAGGCCGCTAAAAAAGACAAAATAAGATCTAGTTATCAGGATGTGTAGGTGACGCACACAGTCGTAGTTAAAGTTCAATTATCATAAGATGAATCTTACCCGTCACATCCATGGTTGTTGAAGTCCTGGGCACAGTCAATCAGCTGTTGTTCTGACTAAAATATATTAAAATGAGTGAACAAATACAGTAAATACTCTTGTCCCTACTATGACATTGGATTTGTGTTTCTACACAAGAGCAGAAGTTTTGATAGAGAAGTGAAAGAAAGTCACCAGTGGTACAAGCTTCCCAGTGTTGATGGCAGTAACAGACTCCAGACAGCCAGTTGTGGAAAAGGTCCAGCAGCTACCACAGGCTGCCTTTGGTGCAAAAAGAAAAATAAGATATTCGATTTATGAAATAAATCAGAATTGTGGTCCTCACAGAAAACAGGTTGACATGTCACAGGGTGTTGTTTTTCAGCTTGGGACCCATTTGATTATAACATAATTGACTGTTACATTTGGAGATATCAGTTATCCCCAGGAAATATTTTAATCTGCTGTAAGTGCATGCAAAATCCACCTGGTTCTTCACATCTGTCACGTAGTTCCCTTTCTTTCTCCAGTCGATGGAGTCTGGAAGTGGTCCTTTGCTGCTGAAATGGTTCCCCTTGGTGGCAGAGCAGTTCTGTAAAAGATAGTATGCATAAAATGCCCTCCCTGTTGAAACAAAAACAATACAAACATTTCAAATCATTGTTACTTTTATGGTTGGCGTTACCTGTGGCTCTGACAAGAGGAAGTACTTTCGAAATTCCCCAAATGTCATGTCTGTGAACTGGTTCAGCCCCACTGCAGGAAGAGAGGAGACATTGTTCAACTTTTTTCACAATAGACCTTGTACAAATAAAATCTCAAAAGTAAAATCGATAAGAGGCCGCTCTTACTTGTGAATGTTTGATTTCCTTCATTGTGTTTGTCAATCCTCCTCTTGTTCTCTGTGAATATCTGGAGCCTCTCATGGTATTCCTGCATGCTGTACACTTTATTGTACTGTTTAAGGGGAAGGGGTTTCTGCTGTCAATATTAGTCTACAGTATAAGATTAGTTATTGAAATAAATTGTTGTCAACTTATATGGCTGAAATCATGTAGCCAAGTTGTCCTTACAAATCACTTCCTCTTAACCGTACTGTAAACGACGTTACATAACAAATGTATGACGAAAACTGTACCTACCTGTGCCATCCATGACTTGAAGTGAAACTCATCTGAAAACAATCCATAGTCAAAAAGTTTAAAATACAAATAATTAAATAACAAGAACAAAGGGATACAACTCCATTTGAGATAATGAAAGTGAAAGTTTTTTTTTGGGCACAAAGATTCTTCAGTACAAAACAGACCAGAGAATCACAGCAGCTTACCTTTTTCAGACAGGGGAAAAGCTGAGGCTGCTGAGAGCAAAGCGAACAATACCAAAGAGATCATCATCTTGATCAGTCAGCAACCACCGAGGAAGCGAGGGAAAATCAAGTAGTGCGATGAGAAGTCACGAGTTGAAGTGCAGCCTGATCAAATTTCCCTACTGACACATAATAAACACTGGGTAAATCAGCCAATCAGTGGCAAGCATAATGCACGAATCCTCAGTTCGGTAAAGTTAGAACAGATTCGAACTAAGCAGATAAATAAGGCATACAAACTCGACGTCCATTAACACAGCAAGCGAGTAAGGTAAACAACAAGCTACAACCTAATTTAGGCTATATATTTGTAATAAAGCAAATACACGTGCGGTCCTCCGGGCTGGACAACTTTTTTAATTGGTCTCAACAAAGACTGGGGGGGGGCGAGTGCTCAGGGACCTTCTACAAAGTGCAATGCTGAAACGACAGCTGGGGGAACAAAATTAGAGAGACAGCAAGCGCATTTCGTGGCATCTGCGGGCAGTGGCAAGTACTTCCGGCATCTACCACGGAGGCCGCTACTCCGTGGTATCTGTGGCAAGTATATTATACTTGCCACAGATACCACGGAGTAGCGGCCTCCGTGGTAGATGCCGGAAGTACTTGCCACTGCCCGCAGATGCCACGAAATGCGCTTGCTGTCTCTNGTTTTCATGTTTACTTTCCAAATGACTATCTCTTTGCGCATTAGGAAAAGCGCTATCAAAATCAAATGTATTATTATATATATATTAGTCATGTTGACTCGTATTGCTCTTTCTTTTTTAAATCCCAGTGGACAA